TTTTTTTTTTGGACCAGTAAGGGGATTGCAACCCTTGGCATGGCATTGTTTGCACCGCGCTCAGCCAGTGAGCGCACTGGCCATCCCTATGTAGGATCTGAACCCGCAGCCTTAGCTCTACCAGCGCCTCACTCTCCCAAGTGAGCCACGGGGCCGGCCCTATAAGCACTTTTGAAAAGCTATTTAGCAATATATACTTAAAAACCTCAAAGGGGTCATATCCTCTGATTTTATACTTTTAATTCTAGATCAAGCATAAGAATTTGGAGTGGAGGAACTGAATGGAAAAAATGTTGATTGAACATTTAATTATTATAGTGAATATTCTGAAGGATTTAAATCTCCAATGAAGAACTGGTTTAAAAAGCCCAAATATATATATTTTTATAAAGAGTTTTCAGCCTTGGGAAACTCTTTGTTTATACAGTTAACTGAAAAAAAGTCAGGTGATAAACTTGTATATAATTTAAGAATGCAGATGCTTAAAACAATAAGAAATGATGCATAGAAATAGAATGAAAAGAAATACACAAAGTACTGACAATGTTTCTTTTTGGTTGGTGAGAATTTGGGGGATTCTTTTCTCCTCTCTGTTTTACACTTATCCAAATATTTTCTTTTTTTAATCCAAATATTTTCTATAAAAATTTTAATATTTTACTAACAGAAAACAATATGTGGCAAATAATATGTTTTAAAAAGGAAGAAGAGGCCAAGACTTCTGCTTCCAGTCAGAATTTTTTTTTAATCCAAATATTTTCTATAAAAATTTTAATATTTTACTAACAGAAAACAATATGTAGCAAATAATATGTTTTAAAAAGGAAGAAGAGGCCAAGACTTCTGCTTCCAGTCAGAATTCAGGCAGTTACAACAATAAATTGGGTAAGATGTAAAATCAATAATTTATAAAAGTTCATCATTGAGCTGAGGATGCCAAGAAGTGTAAATGAACTAAATTGCAGAAATGTGCAAGCTCTTCCTATGAGAGAAGAGACCCACGGCTGCGTTCATCCCTGGCTCTGCAGCAGAGGGAAGCAACTGGACCACAGAAGGGAATAAAAAAAGATGCACAAGTTTTTAAACTAACTGTTAACAGACAAGGGCTTGCATAAGGGCTTAGAATTGCAAAGAGCAAACCCAAGTCACAGTGAAGTCCCATGGTGTCTTCACCAAGTGCATGGAGGTAGTATGCCAAAGTCAGGAGCAATATAGGAGAGTGAGAGAAATCCCTTGAGATGCACATAGGGCCCTCAGAAAAGAGAGGCAGAACTCAGGAGTCAAGAGACATCTCTAGAGGTACATGGGGCTCAGTAGGTGTGTGACTGCTGTAGTCCTCTGGCCAGGGGAAGACACATCCTTTAGAGATGCCCAGGTCTCGTGGAGTGCAAGGCAGCAGCCTGACACAGGGAGCTGGAGAAAGATCTCTCCTAAGCACCAAGGCCTTTATCTAAAGCAAGGCAGTGACTGAGCAGCAGGGTGGAGGATGCTCTCCTGAGATGCTGAAAGCCTGGGGTAGAGTGGAGAGCAAAGTGAAGTCCCCAGCAACTCACAAAGCAGATGGATGGTTGAAAAAGCATAAAAAGTTATTTTGTGGCTTGGAAAACTGCCAGATGAACTAAAACCCATATCCTTGCTGCTGGTGCTCAGATCCCAAGGTTTGCTAAGGACAAGTCTTGTTTCGGTTCTCAAAATCCAAAACTAGGATAAAAAGAATCTAAAAAACAAAACAAGACAAAACCTCAACAGAAAACAGCCCCAGTTTAACTACAGTATAATTCAACCTCCCTACCCAAGCAGCCTGAGAGAAGAGGCCTGCCCTTTTCACACAGTTAATATTCAGTCCTACTATTTTTTTTTTTAACCTACAATGCCTGTCATGTAATGAAAAATTACAAGGCAAGCATACCAAATCAAGAGTATATATAAGATGTCTATAGGTATATATAAGAGTATATATAAGCAGAAAAACAGATGATCCAGAATTTGAAATTCATAGATGAGGACGTAATATTATAGATGTTAGATGATATAGTGAAAAAAATGCATAAACATGGGAAAGTTAGCAGAGAAATAAAAACTTTACAGAAGGAATCAGAGATGGCAGGAGCACCTGGGGACCTCCGTAGCCACAGGCAGCACCCACCTCACAGATGGCCAGGACCATGTGGGACCTCAGGAGCTGAGGGCAGCCCCCACCTGACAGACAGCAGGAGCACACGGAGACCTCAGGAGCCAAGGCAGCCCCTGCTGACAAACGGCAGGAGTGCATGCTGCCACAGACGCCACTGCTGCACAGATGGTCCACCACACCCATTGCCATAGCCACTGCCTCTTCAAGGGTGGCTTGCCTTGAAAGAGATGAGCAAGCACAGACCTGTGACACAGTGGCCCAACTCACAGGGATAATTATGCTGCCACATATGGTAGCATACCTGCAGGTGGGAGGTAATGTGCACAGCCCATGTGACTGCCTTTATCCTGGAAGGGACATACATGGAACTCCCCAAGAATGCAGGAACTCAGGAAACCCAAATAGAGTAAGAAGAAAATTCTCAATCACCCAACTGGGGGGAGTAAGGATCCAGGAGGAGCCTCTGTCTGTAGGGAAGAGGAAAGGGAAGCCCTACCTGGGGTCACTCATTCAAACTGAGGAGTTCCAGTATACCCCAGTGCATACATCAGGGCCATAGGACACTAGCTGGGGTGCCAACAAGCACGCCCAGGGTTATCCATCCCAGCCAAAGAGTGACAGGTCACCCAGATGTTTCTCCCATGAGCTCGAGGGCTTGCCCATATCTTTGACAAACCAACACAGTGTTACTAACCTCAGAAGGAGTCACTAAGTCCCCCAGTGCCTAGGCTATGGAGACACACACAATTCCAACACTGAATATGGCTGAAATACCCACACAGAGACTATGCTAGTGTGTCTACCTGGAGCCAATATTAAAACACCCTACTTAATGGTCAATATAAAACACATCTGTAGGAGGAAGTCTCTCCTCTCAAAGCCCAAACCAGAGTAAGAGAAGAAGCAACTATTCTACCAGATAACCAGACAACAATGTAGACATACTAGAAATATGAATAAACAAGAAAATATGACACAACCAAAAGAATACAATATCTACAGAACATTTCATCTAACAACTGCAGAATAAACATTCTTCTTATCAGCACATGGAACATTCTCCAGATGGACCACATGTTAGGTCAGAAATCAAGTCTCAACAATTTTAAAAAATTGAAATCATTTCAAGTATCTTTTCAGACCACAATGGATTAAGACTAGAAATCAATAACAAGCAAAACTCTGGAAGTTATACAAATACATGGAAATGAAACAACATGTCCCTGAATGCCCTGTAGTCCAAGAAGAAATTAAACAAGAAGTCAAAAAATTTCTTGAAACTAATGAAAATAAAGATGCATCATACCAAAACCTGTGGGGCACTGAAAAAGTAGTACTAAGAGGGGAGTTTATTGCAATAAATGCTTACATCAGAAGAATAGGAAGATTTCAAATAAACAACCTAACACTACATCTCAAAGAACTAGAAAAACAAGAGCAATTCAATCCCAAAATTAGTAGATGAAAAGTTAATTAAGATCAGAACAGAACTAAATGAAATAGAAACCCCCAAAATGATACAAAAGATTAATGAAGCAAAAAGTTGGTTTTTTTGAGAAGATAAACAAAACAGACAAGCCATTAGCTAGTCTAACTAAAAAAAGAGAAGACCCAAATAACAAAAATCAAAAATGAAAAAGGAGACATTACAATTAAAGCCACAGAAATACAAATAATCATTAGAGACTATTATAAACAGCTATACATCAACAAACTTGAAAACCTGGAGGACATGGATACATTTCTGGACACATAAATTTCTGGATGCATACAAACTACCAAGACTGATCCAAAAAGAAATACAAAACCTGAAGAGACCAATACCAAGCAATGAGATTGAAGCAGTAATCAGTAGTCTCCCACTACAAACTACCAAGACTGATCCAAAAAGAAATACAAAACCTGAAGAGACCAATACCAAGCAACGAGATTGAAGCAGTAATCAGTAGTCTCCCACCAAAGAAAAGTCCAGGACTGGTTGGCTTCACTGCTGAATTCTATCAAACCTTTAAAGAGGAATTAATTACTCTTCAAACTACTCCAAAATATTGAAACAGAGGCTATTCTTCCAAACACATTCTATGAGGCCAGCATCAGCCTGCTACCAAACCCAGGCAAAGATACAACAAAAAAAGAAAACTACAGGTCAGTATCCTTGATAAACATAGATGCAAAAATCCTCAACAAAATATTAGCAAACAGAATACAGGAGCACATCAAAAAAGTTATACACCATGATCAAGTGATAAAGGAATCCCAGGGATGAAGGAAAGTTCAACATATGCAAGTCAGTAAATGTGATACACCACATCAACGAAATCAAGGACAAAAACTATATGATCATCTCAATAGACACAGAAAAAGCATTTGACAAAGTTCAACATCCCTTCATGATAAAGACTGTCAACAAATTAGGTATTAAAGGAAAGTATCTCAACACAATAATAGCTATACATGACAAACCCACTGTCTATATCATCCTGAATGAATGATATTGAATGGGATCAAGGCAAGGATGCCTACTCTACTCCTACCTAATACTGGAAGTATTAGCCAGAGTAATCAGGCAAGAGAAAGAAATAGAGGGCATCTGAGTTGGAAAAGATGAAGTCTAACTGTTTGCAGATGACATGATCCTATATATAGGAAAAGTTATAGACTCTACAAAAAAACTCTTAAGCTGATAAATGGTTTCAGTAAAGTTGGAGGATGCAAAATCAACACACAAAAACCAGTAGCTTTCTTATACTTCGATAATGAACTAGCAGCAAAAGAAATCATGAAAACAAGCCCATTTATAATAGTCACCAACAAAACAAAACAAAACAAAACCTAGGAATAAATTTAATCAAGGAGATGAATAATCTCTACAATGAGAACTACAAATCACTACTGAAAGAAATGAAAGAGGACATAAAAAAGATGGAAAGACATTCCATGCTCTTGGATTGGAAGAATTAACCTGGTGAAAATGTCCATACCGCCCAAAGTATCTACAGATTCAGTACAATCCCCATCAAAATACCAATGACATTCTTCACAGAAATAGAAAAAACAATCCTAACATTTCTATGGAACAACAAAAGACCCCAAATACCCAAAGCAATCCTGAGCAAAAAAAAAAAAATAAAGCCAGAGTCATTACATTACCTGACTTCAAATTGTACTACAAAGACTTAGTAAATGAAACAGCATGGTACTGGCATAAAAACAGAGACTCAGACCAAAGGAACAGAATAGAAAACCCAGAAATCACTCTACATACTTATGGCAAACTGATCTTGACAAAGGCACCAATACTATATATTGGGGAAAAGACTGCCTCTTCAATAAATGGTGCTGGGATATGCAGAAGAATGAAACTATACCTATACCTCCCACCATATACCAAAATCAACTAAAAATGGGTTAAAGACTTAAATATAAAACTCCTAAAAGAAAACATAGGAGAAACACTTCAGGAAGTAGGACTGGGCAAAGACTTTATGAATAAGACCCCAAAAGCACAGGCAGCAAAAGAAAAAATAAACAAATGGAGTTATATCAGACTCAAAAGCTTCTGCACAGCAAAAGAAGCAATTAACAGAGCAAAAAGACAACCTGTAGAATGGGAGAAAATATTTGCAAACTATACAACCAGTAAGGGATTAATCTCAAGAATATAAGGAACTCAAGCAACTTAACAGTAAAAACAAACAAAACAAAACAAAAAAACAACCAATTAAAAAGTGGGCAAAGGAGCTAAATAGGCATTTCTAGAAGGAAGATATGCAAATGGCCAACAGACTCATGAAAAATTGTTCAATATCACTAAGCATTAGGAAATGCAAATCAAAACCACACTGAGATATCATCTCACTCCAGTTAGACTGGTTATTATCAAAAAGGCAGAGAATAACAAATGCTGGTGAGGATGTGGAGGAAGAGGAACCATCCTACACTGTTGGTGGGACTGTAAATTAGAGCAGCCATTAGGGTAAATGGTATGGAAGTTCCTCAAACAATGATCCAGCAATTCCACTGCTGGGTATGTATGTTGAAGGGATACCTGCACACCCATGTTTATTGCAGCTCTATTTACAATAGCCAAGAGGTGGAACCAACCTAAATGTCCATTGATGGACAACTGGATGAGGAAAATGTGTTATATATACACAATGTAATACTATTCTGACATAAAAAGAATGAAATTCTGCCATTTGCAGCAACATGGATGAATTTAGAGAAAATTATGTTTAGTGAAATAAGGCGAGTACAGCAAGAGACGTACTGCATGTCTTCACTCATAAGTGGGAGCTAAAAAATAAACAAAGAAGGAAAGGAAGAAAGCGAGATACAACACTCACAATAATTCATTGAATTTTCAAAAGGAGAGAATAGAACTGAGGGCACCAGAGGTGAGAAAGGGGGAGTGGGGTTAGAAAGAAATTGGTAAAAGGTCACAAAAAATGATTACATTGTGTAATGTTGAATATACTAAATATCCTGGTTTGAGTGTCACATATTGCACAGGTATTGATATTCAACGCTGTACCCCACAGATTTGTAAAATCAACTGTGTTTCAATGAATAAAATAATTTAAAAAAATAAATGAGTAAAGAATCAAAAGGAAGTCCTAGAGCTGAAGACTACAATATGAAAATGAAAAATTCACTTGATGTGCTCAACAGTAGCCTGGAGAGAGCCTGATAAAGGGTCAGTGAACTTGATGAACGATCAGTAGAAATTGTCCAGCTGATGCATTAAAAAGAAAAAACTGAATGATAAAAATTGAGTCATTTTAGATCTGTGATACAATATGTAATTGTCTAACATATGTGAAATTAGGTGTAAAAAGAGAGATGAGGCAAAATAAATATTTAAGGAGACAATGGTCAAGAAGTTTTAAAATAGATGAAACAAGTCAATCCACAGGCCCAAGAGATTCATCCATCTCTAGGCAGGATAAACAAAAAGAAAACCATACTTAGACCATTAGAGTTAACATGCTAAAAATCAGGATGAAGGGAAAATCTTAAAAGCCATGTAAGATTTACCGGGTAAAGGGTACATGGGACCATTTTTACTGTATTTTACACTTTTTGTGAATCTATAATTGTTTTAAAATAAAAAAAATTAAAAAGAAATGAACCATTGATACATATAACAATATTGATGAATATGAAAAACAGTGTATTGACAAAAAAAGCATATAGTAAATAATTCTAAGAAGTCTGAGAACAGTCAAGAAAAGTATATGAAGTGCATGAGCAGAGAAAGCTAATCCGTGGTGACAGAAGTTGAAACAGTGGTGACCTGGAGGTGGCTGGTGGGCGGATTTTTGACTAGTAAAGGACACAAATGAACTCGGTTTGTCAAAAACCATTAAACTGCTCATTTAAGATCTGTACATTTATTGTATGTAAATTACAGCTCAGAAAAAGTTGAAGAGAACTAGAAATAATATTCCAAAAATGACATTGTTTTTACCAGTTTCTTGATAAAATAGTCATATGACATATGTGACTGTCTCTTCCCCTGCAGCAAGAATTCTTTGAACGCCTCTATGTCATGTACACCGTTGGCTACTCCATCTCCTTTGGTTCCTTGGCTGTGGCTATTCTTGTCATTGGTTACTTTAGGTGAGTGATTCCCAGTCACTTTCTCTAGGCAGGGACATGTTCCGGTTCCATTCCATAGAAGACATAGAGGTTTCACACTCTGTGCTCCCAATTATGTTTGAATTCAACCTAATGATATTATATTATTTGACAATTCATTTTTCATGACAAATTCAGGGATTTTCTTTGTTTAAAACTTAAAGCATCAAAGTAATATGAAACCTTTAAGCCAGTAGATCTGCACTGCAGCATGTTTGTTTGCAAACTGATACAGCATAGGGCTGAATGAATTACAAAAATTTTCACATATGATGTAATGACTTATTTCACCTTCTCCAAATGATTTTGATGCCATCGGACAAAAATTCAGCTTAAACAATCCCCCAAATTACATGATAGCAGCACATAGAGAAGCTATACTTATTGCTTTTGTTCTGGTTTATTTTTTTATCCACTTAAACTTGTGTACAACTCAATTTAAGTCAATGTAAATCAACACAAAATTTTGGGCACCAATATAGAGATATAACGTGGATAGAATGTACATACTCATGATGCTCGCAGCTGAGAAAACAGCATAGTGTGAGAAATGCTGTGATTCAAGTGGTGCATAGTAACTTGGGAGGGTAGAGGAGGGAGATGAAAGAAGTGAAAACTAAAATGATACCCGAGTGTCAATAAGAGTTAACCAGAAGAGGAGACTGGGGAAGAACATTCCAAACTCATGTTTAGATCAAGAAAAAGCAGTGCATAGTAACTTGGGAGGGTAGAGGAGGGAGATGAAAGAAGTGAAAACTAAAATGATACCTGAGTGTCAATAAGAGTTAACCAGAAGAGGAGACTGGGGAAGAACATTCCAAACTCATGTTTAGATCAAGAAAAAGCATGGAGTATTTGAGAACTCAGAATCTCTTTACTGATTCAGTAGTCCATTTATTCAACAAAATTTTACTCTACCATGTGACAGACTTTTTCTGGTTTTGATGGAGTCCGTGTTAAGATATGTTGCAGGACAGAAAAGTAGCATATATACCACTGAGAGAGACTGACCCATTAAATGCTTATCAAAAAAAAATGTTAGTACTGTAATACAGATTTCTATAAAGGGCTTTGGGAGCATGAAGAATTTAGTCCAAACCAAGTAGATAAGAGAGACTTCCCAGAACAACTGACATGTGAACTAGTATTGAACAATGAGAAGGAATTCAGCAGATGCCAGATAATGGGAACAGAACGTGCAAAGACTCAGAGGCATGAAGGAGCAGTATATACTCAGGAAACATAGAACAGTCCCATGCATGTGGAGCATTTGATGCATAGGGAGGAGTGGACATATAGGAATGGCCAGGAAGAAATTATATTTTGTGGCACTAGGTTTTGCAGGCCTTTGTCAAGGGCTTTGAATTTTGTCCTATAAGAGTAACAGGGAACTAATGAAATTTTTTAAGTAGAAGGGTAATGTGATCAGATTTGTGGGATTATTGGGGGCTTCCTCAAAACAGCCTTGAGAAGTTGGCCTGGCAGAAATTATTCCATTTTAAAGACCAAGAAACTGAAGCTCTGTGTCCAAGGTCACAAGGTCATAGGATGTTGAGCTGGGAATAGAACCTTGGTCTGCTGATTCCTGATCCAGAGTTCATTCCATTACACCAAACTTAGCTCTGGTTGTTCAGAATAATAGACAAGTCTTTATAGAAAAAGAAAGCTATCTAAAAAGCGGCATACAAATGACTAAGTAATAATTCTTCAGCTTATGTAGTAATTCCTCACAAGCATTTAATGGTGGATTCTTTACAATTTCTACACAATGACTTTCTGTACAGTTGCTACACGATACAGCAAAAGGTTATACTAAAATTTCAGAAACTCTTCTGTTTGACAGAACAAAATATTCCTTTATTAGAATAGTAAATAGTGGTGAGTCTCTTAAAAATCAAAACCTACTTATATTCTATGATAGCACTATTCACAGTAAATAACAGCCATGTACACCTGAGAACCTATCTGGCCAAATACTGTTCACCTGTGAAGACACCCCCAGTGAAAAATCAATGAATGAGGACCAAATGAACATAAACACATGTCCATAAAATGACAGCAATGTAATCATTTCTAAACTCTCTACGTTTAGCTCATTCTCATTTGAGTTTTCACCCCTATATAACGAGATATAAAAATATTTATTGGATTGAAAAAAGTCTTACTCCCTTAAATTTTGGTGCTTTGTCCTTTTCTGAAAGAGAGGTATAGTTATGCGTCATTTAACAGCTGGGATCATTAGGTGATTTTGTTGTTGTGCAGACATAATGGAGTGTACGTACCCAAACCTAGATGGTATAACCTGCTATACACCTAGGCTGTATGGGCTACAAACCTGTACAGCTTGTTACTGCAGCGAATACTGTAAGCAATTGCAACACAATGGTAAGTATTGGTGTATCTAAACATAGAAAAAGCACAGTAAAACTGTGGTATAAAAAATAAAAAAAATGGTATGCCTGTATAGGGCACTTACCATGAATGGAGCTTTCAGGACTGGAAGTTGCTCAGGGTGAGTCAGTGAATAAATGGTGAGTGAATGGGAAGGCTTAGGACATTATTATCCACTACTATAGACTTTATAAACCCTGTGCACTCAGGCTACACTAAATTCACTTAAAAAAGTAATTGTGCTATGATGTTATGATGGCTATGACATCAATAGGTGGTAGAAATTTTTCACCTTGATTATAATCTTAAGGCACCACTACTGTATATGTAGTTCGTTATTGACTGAAATGTCATTATGTGGTACATGACTGTAATATTGGTGTATTCATTGTACAGGGAAGTTTTACATCTAAGTTCTGGCTTTCTTACAGTTAAGCAATGGTAGAGGTGGGCCTTTTGGCCAGATTGTATAAACTTTTTCCTAGTGCTTTTTCCATCAAACTTTAAAAAAAAATTTTTTTGAAAGTTAACTTGCTATACTGGAAGTTAGTGGTACTATCTCTACTCCTAAATATGTTTCTGGCTTAACTTGTGTCTAAGATCCTTTTGTAATGCCAAAGTTTATGTTAAACTAAACTTGTTTACTCTCAAACATACCTAGGAAATAAATATGTGTCATGCTATCGAAATATCGTGATTTCTTATAGAGAATGTATTGAAAATATGGATAGTTTTAATAATGTTTATCCCTTCCCAAGGTGGTTCTCCATTAATCATTTACTCTATTACTTTTATAAATAGTATCATATAATACTATAGTATAATAATATAATAATAGTATCATATAATAATATAGTATAATATATTTAACACTGCAAAATCTAGATAAACATGATAGCAGATCAGGATACATTTAAAATTAATTCTCAAAAAGTTACATTTTCATTTTAGATCCTAGTTGTTTCTATTGGAAACATAATAATAGGTTCTGTCTTTGTTCATGTTTATCATATTTCCCCTTTTTTGGGAGGAGTTTGGGCTTATTTAGGTATTTTCTTTCCCTATTTCTAATTTTATCCAAATCTAAACACTGAATATTTCTCTCCATAGACGATTGCATTGCACTAGGAACTATATCCACATGCACTTATTTGTGTCTTTCATGCTGAGAGCTACCAGCATCTTTGTCAAGGACAGAGTGGTCCATGCTCACGTAGGAGTAAAGGAGCTGCAGTCCCTGATAACACAGGATGACCCACAAAATTCCATCGAGGCACCTTCTGTGGACAAATCACAATACGTAAGAGTTTTTGCCATTATCTCTCACTAGTGATTCGTATAACATCACAAATAAATAAAATTTTACAGTCCATTAGATATGTTTTAACTTGTTTTGGCTTATCTCTGAACTAACTAAATTAGACGGCCGATTTGTTTACTGATGTTTACTTCCTCAATTCTGTCCTCTGCTGTCTAATCACTCATCATTTTGGATTAGAGTAAGTGCTTGGGCTCTTTCCTCAAGAACATTCTGGCATGGAAACTGCAAAAAGCACACTATTGGAATGGCATTTGATATATGGATCATAGCAACTGTCATGGCTCACCATTTTCAAAAGTAAAAACCCATCAGCAAAAGCAGAAGCTTGGGATTTAAAAGGCCAGAATATGTAACTCCTTTATTGTGGACTCAAAGACTTGTTCCAATAAAAAGTTCCATTGTGCTTGATTCTGCTCTTAGGTGTCCCGGTGTTAGTAAGTAGAGTTATCCAATAATTCAGTTAATTAGATCACTGAAGCAATGTATCCAGAAATTAGTTACAGTAGATGGTCTTGATGCCTTCCACGTATCCAGGCCTTTCCTGGTAACTTTGCAGTGCCTGCTAATTCTGATTCTGACGGGCTTTGTGACTTGCTTTACCCAACAGAAAGAAGTGGAAGTGATGGTGTGCCGGTGAGGGTAGACCTCTGTGAGTGGGCCTAGCCCAGATCGGCAGACCACCCACCCAATCCATAGACTCATAGGACCTATTAAATGTTGACTGTTTTAAGTCATTAACTTTAGGGACAGTTTGTTTTGCAGTAACAGCTGCATAAAAAAGACCAGAATAAAATAAATTCATGGTAGAAATACGAATATTTTCTTCTATATGCTTTTCTGTACTTTTTTGATTTTCTCTGATGACCATGTATTATTTTGACAAAGAAAAAATTAAGGAAAAGTGATTTTTTGTAACTTCTAAAAGAAAAAAGTCTTATTTTAAAAGTCAAATCAAATCTGTAGTCTTAAAAATGCTATGTTTAAAGCAACTTTGTTCTGGTCTCTTTCAACATGATTGTCCTTCATATGTACAGGAGAAATATTAGACTATAAAGAAGAAACTGAAGAATTGTTTCTGGTGGTATAATGTTGGCATCTAGTACAATTAAGAGTTCTAACACGATCTAATTCTGGTTTATTTGTAACAGATTGGATGCAAGATTGCTGTTGTGATGTTTATTTACTTCTTGGCTACAAACTACTATTGGATCCTGGTGGAAGGTCTCTACTTGCATAGTTTAATCTTTGTGGCTTTCTTTTCGGACACCAAATACTTGTGGGGCTTCATCTTGATAGGCTGGGGTAAGGCGTTTATATCTCCTTTCCTTTTTTAAAAAAATTTTTAATTGACATATTGTAATTGTACATGCCTTTTAAAAAGGAAATCACTCAAATTACTTTTGGCATAGTGATTAAAAAGAAAAAAAGATATTAAGCTCACATTCCAAAAATGACTTAGTGCTGGAGGGATTACTGGATTAGGTACTAACTCAACATGACATGCAGAAAAGGATGCTGTTTACTTGTTAAAATTTAAGAGAAATTAAAACTCATATGTGGTTAAAATTGAGAAGAATCTGGAGATTAACAATTGCAGATCTCAATTACTATTTTAATATTAATATTATGAGATGGTTAGCATAGGAAAAAAAAAATTACTAAGTGTAAAAGTTTAAGACTAAATTTGAAGGTTTTTTTTCCCCTATAAGAATATTCCTTTGCCTGTTTTGCCTTAATATTTTTTTTAACATTTGAAATGTAAATAAAGAATATTGAATTTCCTGCTAGCTAATTAATAACCTTTAAGAAGACAAAGGGTCAATTTACTGTTACACTTCATATATTATGAAATAATAATCGTCACAAATAAAGTTTTATTTCTGAAGGCAGCTCCTTTGTTTTAGGACTCTCCCTTATCTTTGACTAGCAGTGAGTGACTAAAAATAAAAAAGATACATTTACTTTTTAAGGGCACTTTGGAAATTTCCTTGACAGTTTTTGGTAGGTTGCTTTCAAATCATAATTGTATCTGTGCACCCGCATAATTACTATAAATTGGTAAAGGTGTGGATAGAAAATTCAATAATGAATGTAGACGTTTGTCTGAGTTATATTTTATTTTTAAAATTTCTACATCATTGGTCAAATTCGTAATAAATTCTTTTTTCTTATTGATTGACTTGATAGCTAACTGGTTCTGGCCTTCTCATCAACTCTTTAACTGAGCTATATCACTCAGTCTGTTCCTCTTTAAAGTCAGGAGTTTGTGCCACTGAAACCCAGGAAACTAGTTTTCAAATCTTTCCATGAAAAAGAGAATAAAAAATAGTCAAGGTTCCATGAGCTTCTCTGCAAGTATGGGTTTCTTACCTTCCTGGACAAGTTTTATTAATTTATCCCCAAAAATTCTGGCATGGGAGTATCAACTACAACAGATAGCACCATTGCTTGAAATCTTCTTTTTGTGGAATAATTTAAGAACATACATGAAAGCAAGTAGGATTTTCATGGAAGCTCATTGTGAAAGCATATTACATGCAACATTATGCTCACTTAATTAGCTAAAATCCAGAACAGTAATAACCAGTCTTTATAGAGTTATGGTTCTATAGCAAGTCTATTTTCTGACTCTCTCCTTGCAACTTCATTCTCTAAAAATTCTCTTCTCTAGGGCATATATAATGAAAAGAATAGTAATATTCTTTTAAGACTATCTCTCTGCTCCTAAAACATATATATACAAATCAGTTTGATTAATAGATTGTTTTTCTCTTATCTCAACACCGAGTTGATTTAAAAATATTATTTTTATATCTGACTCACTTTTCTAAATTCATTCTCCAAATGGTCAAAAACATTATAGCTGGTTTGCAGGATCCTTTTCTAGAGTAATCGATAGATAATCCAATTTCATACTTTCTCCCAATGGTGTGATTTATTGGCTTCATTAGAGAAGAGAGCTTGCTTGGATTTCTTTAGCTCGATGAATACTCAGAAATCTATTACATTGTAGTGATGTGTGGAGTTACATTATTTACATTGATTTTGATGATTTTTAACAATAAATTGGAAAGGAAGGAAATTACAATCTGAAGAGGAACAGATGTGACCTTTACTAAATTGAAGACAAATATTTTAAATGATGGTTTTTAACACATTTTTATCACAAAACAAGATTTATAAAGTAATAAGGAAAATACTATTGATGACTGCTTTTTTTCTTTCAACCAATCACATTCTTAACTTTCTCTATCCTTGCCTCAATTTTCCCATAAATAAGGCACTTTATTCTCAGTTTTACTTTATCTACATTTTTCCCCAATATTTAAATTCTTTATTTAAAAATGTCAGTCCTCTTTATTCTCATTGAATGTGGTAATTTACCTCAGTATTAGCAACCATCCTTAATTTCTAACTATCAGATGAGATGCCAGTATGTAGTTATTATCATATAAAAGTACCTATCCTGGTAAATATCATGTAGTTACATCTTTGTTGCCAAGTTTTCACATAGAATATTTTCATGTTCTATGTTCTATGGTTCTGTTATCTCTGTATAAAATGATCTCAATCCATCAGCCATTTTTTGGATCATGTAGTTACATCTTTGTTGCCAAGTTTTCACATAGAATATTTTCATGTTCTATGTTCTGTGGTTCTGTTATCTCTGTATAAAATGATCTCAATCCATCAGCCATTTTTTGGTCACCCATTTGGCAGTGAATATAGTTTAGTCCCACACATGGGAAGCATGTAGTATGACCTGTTATGTTATTTTATTTGTCTGTTTGCCCATACTGATCATATGTATTATACTCAAAATTTTTAATTTATAAAACCTGTTCTTCACAAATCATATTATGCTAGCATGTTTTATAAAAATAACTCAACTTTCAGTAAATGCATGTATTGAATAACACTTAAATTTACATTAAGTTTACTTAAGTTAACATTTAGGTTTAAAATAGCATTTAAATTTCAAATATTTTTTTCCTGTATTTTTGTGCTCTAAGTTATATAGTAATGTGAGACTAAGATTGGTGATAGGAAACTCTTAAAGACCTCAAAGTGGTTCTTTATTCTCCCATGGTTGTCTCTATGCTAGTCTTGTGAATAAGGGTCTTTTAAGACTGTGAGAAAAGCAATTTCATTAAGCCATGGTGGCTGATATAAGATATTTGATATAATTATTATCTAAAACATATTGCCCACTCAAGCATGATTAATCAGTATTATATAGAACATCATTTAGGAAATTTCCGATCAGGAGTTGTAAAAGCAGAGATACAGATCTGAAAATGAGAAAATGTGAAAGTTTTGATCAAAGACAAACACTTTTTGCATACAGCCAAGAGAGCAGAACAGCAAAGGGATCTATTTCAGGCCTTTTCTAACCACCCTATTAGAAGCAGCTTCCCCGTTACACAGTATCATTCTTGTTTTTTCTTCATAGCACTAATTGATAATGGAAGTTATTTTTATTAATTTTGCTTCCCTCACCAGAGTTTCAGGAAAACAAGGATATTGTTTATTTCTTAATTGTTTTATCTTCTGAGACTACAGTAGTCCTTAACATATAAATAGGCACTTTATAAATGCTTAATGGATGAATAGTTGGATGGATGGATGGATGGATGGATGGATGGATGGATGGATAGACAGACAGAATATACAAGCTGAGCCTAAGAAATAACCAGAACTAAGTAGGTCTATTTTGAGAAAATTTTCCTAGAACACAGAATTTGAGAAGATTAAAAAAGAATTATATAGAAGTGATAAATAAAATTGGAACATAGAATCATAAATTCAAAAGCCATATAGGCAGGCTGAGGTTAAATTCAGCTAGTTAGATGGTTACTGAGGACACTGAAGAAATTCTCTTTTATGGTTTCAACTTATTTTTATCTTTTTCTGAAACTTATCTTCATCTGAGCCTATTTCTTTGTTCACTTTATTGCTAGGAAAGAATACCTGAAAAATTACAAATGTGGTTTTTAAAAGGTAGAGAATTTAATATCATGCTCAATAAAAAATGTAAGCTAGATTAAAATGGGTTTTTTTTCTCCCTTTGTAAATTGCTTCCTAGCATCTGTAGTTTTTTCATTATGGTCTCTGTATATCTTTTATTTAACCTCTTTCATAAAGGCCACATAACGAAAAGTCATCTATTAAGTCTTTCAGTCCCCTATTGCAGTGTTCCAGAAAAGTTATGGTTTATGAATTTTTTGTGTGTGATGTCAGAATCAACTGTAACATGAACTAAACAGTCAACCTTTACTGGGTGGGGGGGCAGAGGAAGGACTTGTGGAAAGTGAGTATAATGGATTTGATGTTGCAAGCCCAGAAGGGGTTTATCATTTCTGAAGGACAAATATTACATGCTGAAATCCTCAAACTAACATAGTGGTTACCCTTTGTTAAGCTATTAACACAGGCAAATGCTTCTGTCTTGAGCCAATATGAGCCCCCAAAAGGAAGAGGATGAACTGGTAAAAACTTCTTGATTTTATAACTTATTGTGTGTAGCCTTTCTCTATATTCCACTTTTAGAATGAAAAAGTTCTAGTTTTTTAAAAGAACAGCATTCCTCATCTTCTCATGAGTCCCTATTGTTGTTTCATGCTTTGAAAACATGTGGCTGTCAGGGTGGCAAGAATCAAAGTCAAGTACACCAACCACTGCCTACTCTTGGCCCTGGGAGCTTCCGTCCCCTCCAAATATGGCCTGACCCTACATCCCTCTGCTGAAAATTGGACCAACCTCTGTCTTCAGAATTTCAGGAACGATAACATCAATGTTTTCACTCTTTTTCTGAAATTGACAGGATGAAAATGAAGTGGATTTTTCTTGTTCACATACCAGCATCTTTCATGTCTGTTTTTCTCCCTCAAATGGTATATTTTTCTATGTGGTGAATATAAGAAAAGCCCTAATCTCAAAAGAAATATGGTGTCTGAATCCCTTTCTGATTACAGGGTTTCCAGCAGCATTTGTTGCAGCCTGGGCTGTGGCACGAGCTACTCTGGCTGATGCAAGGTGAGTAAAAAAGAAGAGGTAGACAGAGAGCCTCAGATTTGCTCAAGACTCAGACTTCCTGCTTGGAATTCACACCTGCTGCTGTTCTTGGTGCCACCGCCTTTACAGATGTCATGTGTAGTGGTGCCTCTGACACATTACCAGCAAGCTATCTATCCCAGAGGTCATAGAAAGAAAGACTCACAGACCAGATTAAGATGCTTGAGCGCCATGGTTTATAAAATCAACTTATACTGTGAGAATCAAGGGGAAAGAGTTGGGTAAGGGAACACACTTAGGATATAGTGCAAGCAGCTGAAACAACCACTCTACCCGAGTCCTGGGGTGGGCAATGTCCACACTTCCTGTCTTTCTCTCTCTGCCACATCAGCTCCCCCCAATGGTGCAGTTATGAGAACTGGACATGAAATTACAGCAAGGAGACCCAAAAGGTACAATAGGTACCCAGGACCAATGACACACACTTGCTCTCTCAGAGAGAGACAGGGGCAAGTACGATAGCCACAGCTGTAGCTTCTCAATTAGCCTGTTGAGTAGCTTGGGCTTTATTTGCGTTCTTTGGACAAAGGACATGTGGGAATGGGTTTCACCAGTCAGTGGCTGAATTAAGACTTCAAGAATATCGAGCACTTCCTGTGTATCAGGGATATTTTGTGTCTCTTGTATATTTAGTACATCATGAATGTTTAGTACCCAGTTGCCTCATAGATCGTTAGTCCCTATGTTTAACACACATGTACTCTACTTACTAATCACTTCTCTATATTTCATGCAAGCTAGGGTTTCATCTGTCCCATTTGTTTTCTTATATTCTATATCAAAATTAAATATTTTTAAATAATAAAGCAAATGCACATTCTAACTGTGAATCATTAAGATCTTCCAGGCAGCATGTGGTTAGTTTAAAGTAGCATTTAAAATCACAGGGAAAAAAATACTGGGGGGATGGTAACAAACCTTTTCTTTAGCTTTTGACAGACCTGAGTTCAAATCTTGGTTTAGATGCTGCTAATTTTGGGACCATGGGAAAGACATGCGACTTCTTTGTGTATCAGTTTCTCATTTACAGAACAAAGATAATAGTGTAAAAATGGGGTTGATACATACACAACAGCGCAGTGCTTAGCAGATGGAGGCATTGAATGGGAGCTTGAGGAGGAGGAGCTCAGCTGCAGGCATCTCACAGGCCTGTTTTGCCACTTCTTGGTTCTGTTACCTGACCTCTCTGAGCCTCAGTTTTCTTGTCTATCAAATGCAAAACTACTACTCTTTGCAGGGTTGTTGTAAGAGTAAATGGGATAGTGCATGTCAAACACTTAATGCAGAGTTTGGAATAGACTGGTAGTTAGTGCTAAATACTCACTAGCAAGTATTATTTCTTTAATTGTTTCATTAATTTGTACTTGCAGGTACTTAAAGTAACATTTTTGTTGTTATTGTATTAGAAAGGAGGACTCATTCTTCCATTAATCCTAGCTTACGATATTTTAATTTTTATACTGTCAAGCTGATGGAGTCCTGATTCTGCCAAAGTTAGGGCTTAATGCCCAACAATGCCATATTTTAATTTTTATACTGTCAAGCTGATGGAGTCCTGATTCTGCCAAAGTTAGGGCTTAAAAATTAGGCTGGAGAAGAGATGATGGTGAGACGTTCAGACCCACAATGGCTGCCACCTTAGCATTCTTGGTCTTTGTTCAGTGATAATGACAGCAAATTTGCATTTTACAAAGATTATTTACCAGGACGTGGGGGAAAATTGGAGGAAAGTAATAATAAAAACAGTAGCTAGCACTTTTGAATGCTGACCACATTTCAGGTACTTTCTAATTTTTTAAATATTAAATTAATTAAACCTCATATCAGCTCTATGAGATGGAGACCAGAGAAGTTGTGCCAAGGTGGCACAGCCATAAGTGGTAGAGAAGGCATTTGATCTGAGGCAGTGGGGCTCCAGAGGCACTCAATAAATGCTTATGGGCAGATGAGATGTTTCTATTGAGATAAGTGGCATTTTTATGATCTGTGGAGAAGAGTAGAGGGAATCCTTTTACAATATCACTGACGGATGCTCACTTTTCAGTTGATTTAACAAATTTGGTAAGGAGAAGTGCACAGTGGACAATGACCATTGAACACTGGACAGTTTTCTTTTATTTTCACTATATCAATCCTTTGTCCTTCTACCACTTGTACTTTTTTCTGTTCCCTAAATCAGAAATAGCTTATCACCTTCCATGGGCTTTTCAACAATTCACATTTTTTTTTTTGTTGAGATATAAGGTCATGCTTGTGTATTTGTATTGTATGTATACATACAGTGTTGTCAACTAGCACATGTTTTTCCCATTTACATGATAAAATTAAATATATTTCTATTTCATGGTGATCAGAAAGGAAAACCGTAACTTCAAGTGCTCTGCCTCTTCAGTATGTTTGAAATCTACTGTTCCATCATATAAAATCTTCCTTATCAAATTCCGGTATCGGTTAGTATGAATTTTATATAATTATCCCTTTCTTGCATATCATCTTATTTCTCTTGATGTGCATGTGTAACTATCTCATTTTTTCCAGTAAACTATGGATTCTAAATGGGCATGAGTGAAATTCTCTGTTTTGCAATAGAGAACTCTCCAATGCTTGTTGATCAATTCTTATGGATCCATTTGGCCATTTTTCTCCATTTACTAAGTATCTATTGAGCAAGGATAAAGTTTGACTTAATACAAGTTGTAAGTTGTTAGGAAATGTGGTTTTTCTTTCATTTGTGAGTCATGGCAGTTTCCCTCAGCCTCAGTCTTCTTATCTGTAAAATGAGAATAATATTCTTGGACATGATTAAGGTTGTGAGTCTGTGTCTGATTTGAGAATCAGATGAGAGCCATTATGAAAGGACTTTGTAATCTCCAACTTCTGGACAAACATTAAATATTATTACTTTCAGTATGGGTAGGGAATCAGTAATTTTTAAGGTGTGATTATTATATACAAATAGAAAAAAATTCTTGACAGTCCCTCTCCTGTTGTTCCTCATAAATGTATGACATTGTAAGTCACTCTTTACTTCTGTCTGTTCCACACACCTCCATGGCTGCCTGCAGCGCAGGCTGTCTGGTAAATGCTTGTAGTTAGCTCATGTGGACTTTGGGCAGAGCCCCCCTGTTGTCTGTGTTTCTCTTTAGGGGCTATATGATGAATGCACCCTGAAGCATTCATTTTTTCATACTATTTCTATTTTTAGTAATGATGAGTCAAAGAAAGAAAAGGAGAAAGTGGAAAAGCATTCAGGCACCTGTTCTTTGCTCTCGCGGTCAAGCTTATTATTACTGGGCCGAACTGTATTTCCCTCCCCAAAATTCATATGTTAAAGCCCTACCCCCCAATGTAACTGTATTTGGAGATAGGGCCTATTAGGAAGTCATTAAGGTTAAGTGAGGTCATAAGAGTGGGGCCCTGCTATGATAGGATTAGTGTCCTTATAAGAAGAGATACCAGAGAGCTTACTGTCTCTCTTGTTCCACGCATACAAAGAAGAGGTCATGTGAGCACACAGCGAGATGGAGGCTGCCTGCAACCAGGAAGAGAGGCCTCACCAGAAATGGACTGTGCTGGCACCTGATCCCAGACTTCTAGCCTACAGACTGTGGGAAAATAAATGTGTGTTGTTTAAGCCACCCAATCTGTGGTATTTCGTTATGGTAGCCTGAGGCTGCCTGCAACCAGGAAGAGAGGCCTCACCAGAAATGGACTGTGCTGGCACCTGATCCTAGACTTCTAGCCTACAGACTGTGGGAAAATAAATGTGTGTTGTTTAAGCCACCCAATCTGTGGTATTTCGTTATGGTAGCCTGAACAGACTAATACACTTATGACAAATGAAAAGGCGATTTAAAGAGAGACAGTTATGTAGCAATGCTGAGCATTCTTTTATGTTAACAGAATTTAATTTATTATCCACAGATTGTGTACATTTCATGATAGAAATTCTCTTTTTGTTAGCTCCTGGGAGACTTTTAAAAATTTGAGCCAATATGTTTGTTTTGAGATACTAGGTATTTCCTTAAGAAATTATTTTGTCTACTATGCATTGAAAAAAATGCCAGAGTATGTGAGCACCTGAACTCTATAAAGAATTCACTTTCTCAGTCCGAACTCTGAGGAGTCATTGTCTTTGGGTGCAGCTTTCCTACCACCTGCTATAAAGGTCTCATTCAAAATCAGTTTCCCTCAGTTCTAAAACTTACTGGCTTTGCATTTTTACTTGCTCTTATCCCTTTATGCTATTTGAATTTGTTAACAGCTGAGGGACATTGTTATTTACATTGTTATCATTATTGCTGTGTTCACATAGTGATATTGGAAATCTCAGAGAAAACTTGCAGCATCTGCTATATGATTTCCAGGAGAGAGAGGCTGTCAGTAAAGAGATACTAATTAATGCCACAATAGTCATATTCTGAGATCTATAACTGTATAAACTAGATTTGGAATTTTAGAGATGGAAGGACCTAAGGCATTTTATGGTCCAATCCTCTCATTTTATCGATAAATAAAATGAGACCCAGAGACATGAGACATTCTCAAAGCTTACAGCCAGCCTTGTGCAGAATTCTGACTCATTCATCCATGTAACAGATATTCCAGGCCTTCAGCACAAAAAGAAAACAAATATGTTTACAACATATTTTATATTGAATTAGATAGTTTTCTTAGTCATCTTGTTTTCTTTCTTAAAGATCATAAACTAAACCTTAAAACCTTAAAAATCATAAGTATTTTCACTGAAAAAATAAGAAATAAAAGTTTATTATTTTTGAGGCAGAGAATCCATTGAACACATATGTTGAAAAATATTGCTCCCAAACAGTTGAATTAATGTAAAAAATTAAATATGAAATATGTTAGATTATGTGACTCCTCTGTGCAAAACATTTTGCTTTCTTCCTACCTTACTCATAATAAAGTCTTGAATTCTATAGTGCCCTAATCTTGGATAGGTGGGCGGGGGTTCATTTTACATTTGATTTTGCATATAAAATTAAACTTATTACTGTTTATCTGACATGATTTCAAGATTGCCCAATTCAATTTCTCATGAAATTTGGCTTTACTGTAGACAGAAAGTTCTTGTGGGTTTTCTTGGATGTAATCTGACCTACATAGAGTGCCATATCATGAAGCTCTGGTGGAGCAATCAGACTTTGAGCACCTCCATAGGACAGACAGGGTCTACATGAACCCATGTCTCTTACATTTGACTCAACTTTTTCTGATCTGGCCTTTCAAAGCTAGAACTCTGATTTTCTCTGTATCTTCTTCATTCAGTGATAAGAAGATCAGATCCTGTTTTTAAAAATAGCCTAAACTCTACTGAATATACAAAGAAAGTTTCTTCCAGTTATAAATTCTATTGACAGTGTTTTTCGAGTAAGGTAGGCTAAGATAATTTAGAAGTTTGGGTTAGACAAATGAAATTTAAAAATGAGTAATTTTGTTTCTCTTTCCTTTTACTTACAAAAGCAAAACACCTTACAAGATACCTGCTACCTTCTCCCTGACTCATTCAAGGGAGATAAGAGATGCCAATGAATGGGGAAGGAAATTCATAACTCTTTTGTTATATTTTTGTTTCACCATCCAGCAAGAAATGCGGGGCCTGCAATGGAAAGGACCAAGAAAAGATTCTCTCTGACATTCCTAAGACACCTGCATAGGCTCTTGGGGCCAGGCCCCTTATGCCTGTGCCTCCTCTCTTACTGGTTGTGAGTTGTGGTGCGAATGCAGTATTCAGTCAATACAATTAATTATCTGGATCCCTCTGGCAGAACAGTGCATCCGTTTCCAGCCCTATCAGTAGGAAGTTCTACTTGCTCGTCAGATCTTTGTGCCTCATGCTTCACCATTCAGAACTACATTTCCTACAGTGTTAAAATTTATTTTAAAAAATCTGAACAGAGGGTAGTTTCCAGGCCATATTAATGAACACAGAGTGAGCTGGGGCATTGGAGAATTAATTAAAAACAAGGATTAATAGCATTTTCTTTAAAAAGTCTGAAGTCTCAGTTTCTTTTCTTAAATCAAGGGGCAAATTTGAAACTTTGACACTGAAAACCATCAAAGTCATGTTTTTCATGTTCTTAGAGGTAGCTGGTTTTGACCCACATCCGAGTACAAGTATTATGCAGAGCTAGAATTGTATTATTGAATCCCAGTGTGTTAGAAGACACCATGCAGAAATGTCCTTGAGGCAAAGAAAGAAGATTGTGAAGATTTTAGCAAATGTCAAAAACTGAAAAAAAATTAATGGAATCCAAGAGCCTTGTAGGTAGTGAATCAATGTTAAATTTATATTCACAAAATATATGCCACCTTCCTTTTAGTTGAAAGCTTTTTTAGGGTAGTGTGGAACACATTCTGCATGTCTCAGTAACAACTCTTTTCTGGTTGAATAAGGTGAAAAATAGATGCGTGTAAATAATGCTAGGAAATGTTCAATAATATGCAAATATAAAATTTCTGTGTCTTAGTCTTCTATGTTATTTAGATTTCAAGTTCATTGACTATGCAGATTTCAGTTTGATTGAATCAGAATTACACTCTGGTGTGGGGTCCGGTTGTTTTAACTGTAGTACATTCTCCTAATGAAATGCTGTGCTACTGAACTCTCTTGGAGCTGATATGGAAAGCCATTGAAAAAAATACTTTGAAAAGGGAAAAGCAAATTATATAACAGTGTATACATTTCTTTGTAAAAGAGGCGAAATAAGAATAAGACATCTGTATTTCTTTATATATGCATAAAGAAACATTGGAAGCATATACATTAAGGTAATAGAAGATGTTATCTATAAGGAAGAGGAATGGGGCAGAGGTAAACAGGAACATGGGGAGACTGAGACATCTCAATGTCTGTCTTTTTATATAGTTTGATTTTTGAAATGAGAATGTATTGTTTATACATAAAAATTAAACTTTAAAAAGAAGATATAGTTATTAGATATGTACTGAGAATGTTTTGCCTTTAAGGAATAGTTGAAATAGCATTTCATTATCCATAACTTGCTCATTAATAAAAGTAACTCCTTGATAAGTTTATCATCTGGAAGTGTCATTTTATCCCCCAAATTTCTTTATAAGATGTCATTTACTGTTGCTACAATCAATGACGAGTTTTGTCTAAGGACAAAGAAACTGAAGGCTTTTTATTTATGTATCTTTAATTAAAAATAAAAACTGTTTAAAGTGCTACATAAAAGTTTCAAGTAGAACTAGTTTTCTTTTTATCAACCCCGTGTTCTTTATTTTTTACCAGTATAAACCAGATTGGGTAAGGTTGAGTCAAACTTACTTTGGATTCAATTCATGTCAATTCAATCCAACAAATATTTATTGACTACTTAGGCTCTGTTCGAGGCACTTGCAAAATATCAGAACACAAAACAACAGTGATCCCTGCCCATGTAGGACTTAAATTCTAGTTGGGTGTGAGGGAAGCAGAAAATAAATATAATAAATAGGTAAATTATATAGAATTTTTGTTAAATACTGTTAAAAACAACCTTTTTGAAATTTAAAGATAAAATCATGGATCTTATACCAATATAAAATGAACAGTTGTCAAAGATTTTTTAAAACTCATTAATGAGGGAATTAGTAAGATGTTATAATTGGCTCAAGGGAGAGATCAAAGACCCATATGTTTATATTCAGTAAAATGAATACCGAAAATTTACAAATAAATGCAAAAACTTGTCAATATTTACAGGACGTAAGTCAACTGCATTCCGCTGAGCACAGCTAATTTTCATTTCTATGGACAAGAATTATTTGCACTCAGTTTTCTACTGCACTTCTGTGGAGAAGACTGATTTGCATTATTGTTAGTGTTCTACAATTTAAGGAGTTATAAAATAGAGTTACTGTCATTTCTGAGAGAGGACTTCATCAAGTTTTAATTATTATGGCTCATTTCAATAATAATAAAAGTAAAGTATCAATTGCGCCGCATTTAGAAGACTATAATTTTCTTGTGGCACTGGAAATGTGGTTTTTACTCTTGTCACTGTGAAAGTGATTCAGCAATATTTATAATACTACTTATCTGCAAGGGGTAGCTAACGGTATGGATCCAGGACCCATTACATGTTTTTTCCACTTGTTTGGGTGTTTTACGGTAAGATATTTTCATCTATTTGTTTCTTAATCAGAAGCTTGAGACTGGAGTTTTTGGTAAAACTTAAAATGTTACTTAATTTTCACTACCTATTTGCCAATTTATTCATGAAAGTTCTTTTTCATATTTCAGGTGCTGGGAACTTAGTGCTGGAGACATCAAGTGGATTTATCAAGTCCCGATCTTAGCAGCTATTGGGGTAAGTTTAAAAGCTTCTATACAGTTTAAAAAAAGATGAAAAATTAAACTCCTTCTAAAACCTAGAGAAAGTTTGTCACTTTATTCTGCAATAGATTTGGGAATCTCTCATATGTACAGCAAAAGCTGTTGGGAGGCTCTTGTTCGTCAAGTGGATTTATCAAGTCCCGATCTTAGCAGCTATTGGGGTAAGTTTAAAAGCTTCTATATAGTTTAAAAAAAGATGAAAAATTAAACTCCTTCTAAAACCCAGAGAAAGTTTGTCACTTTATTCTGCAATAGATTTGGGAATCTCTCATATGTACAGCAAAAGCTGTTGGGAGGCTCTTGTTCATGGCTGACAGTGAGACCCCTGCAGAAAGCACTTTAATCAGCTGGTGCTTGGAGACAATTGTGAGATTTCAAAATATCTATGAACATTTATGTTTAGGCAATTGGAAGGCCCTAAATCTCTTTCTCTTTTCATCCATTATTTTATATCTCCACTCTAACCTTTTGATCACTTGGTAGTAGGTCGGGGTGGTGGGGAGGGGAAAATGGAATAGCAGGAGAACAGAGAAATTACTGAAAAATGGTAGTATGATCCATTATAAAGCATTGCCTAAAGCTTTTATTTGGCATACTTTTTCCAAGGATAACTCTTTGGATTTCTGCAGAAGCCTAATAGGTAATAGGGAAAAAGACTAGAGTTGGCAATGCATACTGTACTGGACCTTGTCTGCCTGTAATATTTCAAATGTGTATTGCATCTGTGTTGCAAAGGAAAGCAAAACTGCACGCTTCCTTGTGTCTAACAAAACTCACCAAAATGTTTGCTGCTAGTTTTCCTTGAAGACTGTAGAACATCAGCTTCTCTGAGGTTTGATGAAGAAATTATACCACTTTGTGTTTTCCTGGTGTTCATGTATGTGATACAAGATTACAAGCATCTTAAAAGCAGGACTAATGTCCCAAAGCTAAATGTGGAATCTATTAAAACCCAAGGGATCCTTGCAAAATTATTAGGAATTGAAGCAAAGGACAGTGGAGAAAAATAAATTATAGGGCATTTTTCATTGAAAAAATTGATTTTTATCCAAAGCTTTGTTGTTTGTTTACAGATCTAAGTTACTCACAATATCAACAATGGGTGAGAAGTTTATTTGCTGAAGTTTCTAAGTTACAGTGTAAAACAGCAAAGTCAGGTGATTGAGAGCTTCTAAAAGATTCACCATGTGGTGAGGGAGAACTAGAAATGATGGTACACTCAATAAATTTCTAAAAAAAACTTAGGGGGAAGGTCATTTTCATCTTCTTGAACTAAAATTATGAGTTCATGAGCTTCAGAGCAAGAATTCTTAAATACTTTTCCAATATTACAATGAACATTTTGAAGTTCACTGAACCTCAAATATCTCAGAAGAGATTCAAGAACACCTTTCTGTTCATTGAGAGTTACCTTTTTGTTTCATTATTACAATTCAGGATTATCACAATTCCCTTGAAGCTTTTAATTTACTCATATCTACTAATGTATCTGAAAGTTTTCATAAAATGTCAAGATTTGGATTTGAAATCAATATCCCACTTATTTTTTTTAATCAATAATTTAGAGAAGGTTGAATTATGGAAGAGAAAAACTAAAAAGGCAAGTGAAAAACTAAGTAAAGAAAAAAACAGAATTACAAAGAAAAACTGCAAAGTAGAGTTTGCAAAAAAATAAAGGAAATACCTTGAGAAATAAGGAGATGCACCTCAAGAATAAAGAGCTCCCACGTCAGATTTGTCTCTTCTGGCAGAAAGAATGTGGAAGGCCCCATGTGGATAATTGCATCGGAGATGTGTAACACCAGATGGTAGGATTGCCAGTGGCAGCAGTTCAGACGATCAATTTAAAGCTCTCACTGAAATCCTGGAAATCCAGGAGTTTGAAAATACACAGTAAACACAAGTTAATAAGTTTTAAAACTTCGATTCCAAGAAGAGTGATTATTTTATGTAGAATCTTAAAGACCAGAGCTTTATATGCAAGATTGGCTTTCAGAAAAAAAAATAAGGCATCTAATATCAACTTTGGGAGTAGATGGGGATTAATAAACACAAAATCCTGAGCAAAGAGAGCCATGATTAAAGGGGAAATTCGTTATTTAGTCTTATTATGGGTTGGGGGTGTATGACAGCATCTTGGAGTGTCTGAACCGAAGTTGTATGTGAGACAGTGTCAGGAGCTGAGACTGCAAAGGGGGCAGGGACCATACCCTGAAGTGTTCACATGCTTTCTAAAGAATTGAAACCTCATCGCACAAGTGGAGACAGAGGTTTTCACGCTGGAGAGTGATGGAATCACGTTCCTCGTTCAGAAAGATCCAGGGCTTGGCGAGACTGGCGGTGGGACAACCAGATAATAATGGGTGCCTGCTGGGTGGGAGTTTACGTCC